CGGGCCGGCCTCTCCCCCAGCCACTAGCCGGGGTAGGAACTGGGTCCTGGCGAGGTGCTGCAAGGCGGGCTGAGGGCGGGAGGAGGCGGGCCCCCTGCAGCCGGGGTGGAGCCAACAGCAGAGCCAGAGTGGGAGGCCAAGGCACTCCCAGCTATGGGCCCGGGGTGCGGAAGACCTGGGGGGCCTCCCGTGCTGCTGTTGCTGCTGCTTCCTGCATGTCCCCTTTACAGCGCCCTGATGTTTCCAGGTGAGGGTGTGGGCCGGGCCGCCTCTAGGACAGGTGAAGTGGTGGTGGTCATGGGTTCCAGAGCAACTAGTGGACCAGAGAGTTTGCTACCTGGCCAAGAAAGAGGATTCTGGGCTGGCCCTATTCCCTTTTAGTGTTGTACAGCTCCTAGCTGTGCTCCGAGGCTTCTGCATCTCCAGACTTCTAGGCCAGAGGGTCTTCCTCCTCCAGGAAGGACTGGTGCCCTGGGGCCCTCGGAGTCGTGCTCTGCCTATAGGCTTAGTGGGTCCATCAGGCTCATCCTCCCTTCGTCTTGGGTCTAGGCAACGTATATGGTGTTTACACTGTTGCTTTCAAACAGGGGTTATCTGCTTAGCAATGCCTGGGGACTGCTGCTCTCTCTTCCTACTGTAACCTCTCCTCACTCTGCTAAGACAGGGCTCTTAGCATCTCTAAGTGGGTAGGTTGAGTTTCCAAACGCCATACAGCAAGCACCCGGCTGATTAGAAGGCAGAGGAGGCAGCAGGAAGGAGGCAGGAAGGCCTGAGAACTTGGTTGTTGGGCAGCCTAGAGGCGACCCCATGCCTAGGAACTCCTGCTCTGTTATGGTTCTGAAAGGGATGAATGTCAGCTGTACTGTCAGGAGATAGTTGTTGGTGAAACTCATGGCAGAGACAGCCTCTGTGTATCCTGCATCCTAGGTGACCTGAGGTCAGCAAGACCTGGTTCTCCATACCCAATTAAGCCTTCTCTTGGCTGAGAGATCTTTTACCTCCAGGAAGGCTTCTCTGCCCTTCCCTCTCCTCCCCTCCCTTCTTCTTCAGCCTCCATTCCAAAGCTACACCCTCTCCCCCAACTGCATGATGGCTCATTATTTAAGAAGCACACGCTACTTCAAGGAGGGGGTTCTGGGGGCTGCTGCTATTCCAGATTTTTTAAATGTGTACGAATGTTTTGCCTGCATATACATCTGTGTACCATGGAGGTGCCAGGTATACCTGGGGGCTGGATGAGGGAGACAGGGCCCTGGAAATGGAGTTATAAGTGGTCAGCTGTGAGCTGCCATTGGGAACTGAGAACTGAACCCGGTTGTCTGGAAGAGCAGCCTTAACCACCAAGCCTCCTATCCTGCTCCTATCACAAACGTTTGATATCCAGAATCTGGAGAGGAGATGGGAGAGGAAAGGGAGTTGGGAGGACCCAGGAAGAGCTGAACCAACCTCAGAGATAGCTCTCAGCCTGGACAGGGCTAGGGTCAGAGCTGGTGGTGGGTGCGGTTATTTTGTTTTTCTGGGTTTTTTTTTTGTTTTTTTGGGGTTTTTTTTGTTTTTTTGTTTTTTTTGTTTTTTCCTGTGAACTGGGCTTGCTGGAGAACTGAATGCCAGAGGGATGAGAGGGCTGCTGCAGCCTGGCTCTCCACAGGATAGGTCCTGTGAGGGTTGCTGGGACCAGATAGGAGAGGGGAGGTAGGAACATTCCTGAAGAACATTCCAGCACCCTCTGAGTAATGCTTGGCTCTGGTATTCCTCCTGGAGCCCCCTTGGAAAAGCCTGGCCTAGGAGCAATGAGGCTCTGAACCCCAGCTCTGTCCCTCCCCTCACAAAAGGAGGGAGTTTCTGGACCAGGTCCCTCAGAGTTCTCCATCAACATCAACCCCAACAGGAGCTCTGAGCAAGACATCTGGTGGTTTCTTACTCAGATGGTAGAGACAGCCAGCCCCTGGTTACATATCCCTCACCCTAAAGGCATCTGCTGTCCCGTCTAAAAATACCCGAGGCTGCCTCCTTCCCCCCCCCATTCCCTGCACATGGGGTCTGGGCTTCTTCCCATGCTCTCTGACCTCAAGCCAGCTCCCCAAGGTCTGGCCACTCTCAAATTCCCCAGTGGGGGTGTTTCTTGGTGCCTTTGGTCTCTTTTGCCACTTCCCTGACCACCACTCCATTCTAGGGATGCCAGGCCCTGGGTGTTGCCAATGGAGTCTGGTTTTCAGGGCCTCGCCTTCCCTGCTGGCTTCCTGCTCCCACCTGCTGCGACTCTGACACCAGTCTCTGTCTTCACACCAGGAAATGTCCCCGGAGAGCCAGTTACTCCCCACTGGGTCCTGGATGGAGGACTCTGGCTCAAGGTCACTCTGGAGGAGCCGGTCAGTATCTGTAACACTGGGTCTCAGCCTCTTTGTCCTCCCCAAATGCAGTGTGACAGTTTTTCTGGGGTTCTCAGAACCAAACTACTCTACCCTTAAGCCACTCCCTGTCAGGGTGGGTGGGAAAGGGAGACATCTAGATGGTGTGAGCCTGCACACATGGAAGTTATTTGGGGCTTCCTCCCTCCTACCCCCTTCTATTCCTGGCCCTATCCCTGTCCTCCCCTAGAGGAGCATCCAGGCTAACCCCCGCTCAACTAGGCAGAGCTGAGTTCACAGTCTGGGCCCTGAAGCCTTTCAGCAGGTGGTGTTCTGTTCCGTTCCGTTTTGTTTGGGGTGAAACAGGGTCTCACTATGTAGCCCTGGTGGGCTTCAAGTTGTGAGACATCATGCCAACTTTTTGGCTAAGTTTGTGGGGAACGTGTGACTCTGTGGACACACTGCCATCCTGTAACATCAGCTTCCATGCCTGCAATCCACCTGTGGCAAGGAAGCAGTGGTCCACTCTCCCAGTATCCCCAGATGCAAGCCCACTCCATTTTGTTTCTCCAGGACATTGTCCAGCCTCCTCTCAACTCCTGCCCATCACAATCTCCCAGTATAGCCACGCCCCAGCTGTGTGTGCCGTTATAGCTATGCTGCAAACCGAGAGGCCAGGACTACCTTCCCCATCTTCCCTAAACTACTCAAGCTAGAGAGAGTTTGATTCTGTATTTCCAGCCAAGAGATGGCAGTCCCACTGTCCAAACCCAAGAGAATATTGCCATGGCGCCTATGGGTTCCTCAGAACCCAAACCTTCCAACTTAGGGCCTTCACTGGGGTCCTCCAGACCTCTGGGATTTCTCTCAAGTAGCCAAACAAAGCTGATTTGTGGAAGGGAGGGCTGGACACACACCAGGATTCCCCTAACTGTGGCCTCTCTCCTTGCCTGGCTTGGTCTGTGACAGTGGAGAATCCCAGAGGGCTCTGCTTTGCATTAGGAGGCCTGTGAGGACAGGCAGAGCTTCAGCAGTGTGTCTGCTTCATAAATGGAATGGAGCACAGAGGTGGGGGATGGACACTGGAATAGAAGTGAAGGCAGCCAGGGTTGCAGAGGGACAGGGATCTTCCATCAACGCTATTGCCATTCCCCGGTGCAAAATTTTCTCATAAAGCAAGAAGAGGCATTCCAACCATATAAGCTTATGTTTGGGGCCCTTGTGGGGACCATGGCTGGGGAAGTGAGGGCCATCCACTCCGTACCTGGTGAGGAAGGCCCCCCCACTCACTGCAAGACTCTTGGGCAGGGTCCCAGCCCAGTGCATTTTGAGATAAAAGGGGAGAGCCAACAGGGTGGGGAAACATTTTAAAAAATACAGCAGCCTCTCCCCTGGAATCTCCTGGGCTAGTTCCAGTTCTGGCTCCTCACCAGGCTGAATGGATAGCAGGAAAGTGTCAGAGTCAGTGAAAGAGAAGTGGCTGGAGGGCCAAGGCCAGCCCTTCTGACATCTAGCTGAGAAAGTCAACACTTTTCAGAGGGCTAAGTTGGGGTTCATGTTTACTTTGTGAGCTCAGTAATGATGCTAGCCTGGAGGCCACATGGAATTTCAGAGGACCAGGCAGTGTGCTGGAAGGAATTGGAGGGGGGAGGAAAAAAGTCTGGGATCTATCAGGAATGAAGGGAAGGCAGCAAGATGAAAAGATACGTAACAAGGGGCTGGGAACGAAGCTTGGCAATTTGGATGGATCTTGTGGAGCATATGCAAAGCCCTGGGTTTGAACTGCAGCACCAAAAACAAACTAGCAAGCAAGCAAACAAACAAACAAACAGATCAACAGAACAAGCGCTCAGGCAGAACATGAGATGGCCAAAGCCATAGCCCACCAATGACCCCATGATACCCTTACTTTCCACTGCCTTCTGTTTTCCAGGCCCTTTCTAGGAACAAAAGAAGAGGGGAGGTCACAGGAAAGGCTCAGGAGCTCCTGCAGGCTGTTTGTGTATCTTTAAGGGGCCATTGTCACAAACACAAGTGCTAGGAACATCTATGGGTTACTACTCCCGCACTGTTGCCCCCATGAGCCCTCTCGCTAGCCAGCTCTAGAACATCCTACCTGTTTCCTGTCAGGCAGGTGGCCTAGAGGCCTAGTGTGTCACTGCATTCCTTCTCGGTCAGGTCTTGAAGCCCGATGTGGTGCTGGTGGCTTTAGAGGCTGAAGGCCAGGATCTCCTGCTTGAATTGGAGAAGAACCAGTGAGTATCAGCCTGGGGTTTGGCTGAAGCCCAGGACAGACCCTCTCCAGAGAGGATCAGTGCTTTTGTGGGGAGGCTGGGTGGGAAGAGGCATGAGTTACAGAGGGAATGGCTAATGTACTTGAGGTTAAAGTGGGCTGAACCCAGCTGTAGGTATAAACATGCTTTCCATCTCAAACCCCAGAGCGCTTGGTAGCGCTCTGCTGGAGATGAGTGAGCACCACCTAGTGGACATTTCTTGGTACGTTAATTCAAAAGGGAATCCTAGACAAGCTTCCACAGAGGAGAAGGCAGGGACAAAAGCACTGTAGCTACAAAGGTCAGTATCCAATGATGACAGTTCAGCTGGTGGGCTTGGAATGTCTCCATTTGCATGGAGGGGAGGGAGGGGAAGGAAGAGACGGAGGAGGAAGAGGAAGAAGTAGCAGCTAAGTCCTTGGCGGGGCTGGGGAAGGAGCCTGGAGATGAAGTTATTATCGAGTAGAGTCGAGCTCCAAGTAAAGGAGCCCAGGTGGGCTCAACAGAAGCAGATGCAGGCAGGTGGGGCTTTGTTTTTTCTGGAAGTCAGGAGAAGGCACCACAGAGGGTCAGATGGAGGCATGGGATCCAGCAATCTGAGGAGAAGAACTGAACATCTGTTAAGCAGATCACGGGCCCTTCTTCAGCAAGGGCAGGAGCAGGCAGAGCTCAGGGCTTGGCACCACATGACATCTCTGCAAAAACGTCCAGCTCTTCCCCCTCATCTGCCTGCCACAGGCTCCACTGCCCAGAAGGTTCCTGCCTGCTCTCCCCAGGGCCTCCCATATTCCCATTCCATGTCTAAACATCCAGGGCTCACTATGTCTTCGTTTAGCCTGAGGTTGTCTTCCAGGAACAGTGCACAGCCTGTCCAGTCCTTTCTCTCAGACACGCTGCTGCCTCATTCAAAGAGGCTCAACCAGCACTCAGGGAGGAATGCTGGCGGGCTAGCCCCTGGAGACAGGCCTAAATCCAGTGACTCCTAAAACACACTTGCTTCCCAGCAGGCTCCTGGCCCCAGGATACACAGAAACCCACTACAGCCCTGATGGGCAGCCTGTGGTGCTGTTCCCCAACCACACGGTGAGACACTCCCATGGGCTCTGAGGGCAGCGTGAGGCACCCCCTAAGTACTTGCCTTGTTCCATTTTGTATTCCTTCGGAGACTGTAGCAGCCTCAGGCCTCCCTTCCTCCTTCCTCCATCCTGAGCCCTTACTGAGATCTGGATTTGAGTTCTTCCCTCTCTAGGATCATTGCCACTATCATGGGCGTGTGAGGGGCTTCCTGGAGTCCTGGGTAGTCCTCAACACCTGCTCTGGGATAAGGTAAGGAGAGGGGAGAAAGGTCCTGGACCTGCTGCAGAGGTGAGAGCGCCTTCTCACACACCCCTACACTCTTCTGCCCTCTAGTGGCCTGATTGTACTCAGCAGCAATATCAGCTACTATCTGCACCCCTGGGCTTCCGGGGACAAGAACTTCTCAAGCCACAAGATCTTCCGGATGGAGCAGTTGTTCACATGGAGAGGGGCCTGGATAGAGAGCTCCAAATACAAAGCAGGAATGGCCAGTCTTTCTCAAGTCCCCCAGAGCAGGGTAAGGGGCTTAGACTAGAGTGGGCATGGTCCTTCGAACCAGAGGAGACAAGAATGCAGACCCTGGATGGGGCCTCCCCTGTTTAATCCGGAGGCTGAAGAATCAAGTTTGAACAAAAATTTCACTGTTCCTTCTGAGAATTGTGGCTGGTGGTCAGGACTCAAGTCAAGCCGCCTGACCCTCACCATTTACCCCTCCCAGGTGAGGCGAGAGGTCCGCGGGAGCCCCAGGTACCTGGAACTGTACATAGTGGCTGACCACACCCTGGTGAGCAGAGAGACCTCAGAGGTCTGACTGGGCTGGCCTGGAGCCTGCTCAGCCCATGTGACCCGGGAATTTCTGCCTTCCCAGTTCTTAGTCCGGCACCAGAACTTGAACCGCACAAGACAGCGCCTCCTGGAAGTTGCCAATTGTGTGGACCAGGTTGGGTGGTTAGGGCGCCGAAGGGTAGGAGTGTGGCGATTGAGAAGCCCTGGCCCTGGCACAGTGGGTGCCTGATTCTGGTCTCAGCTGGTCTCTGCCTTAGATTCTCAGGTCTCTGGATATTCAAGTGGTATTGACTGGCCTGGAAGTATGGACGGAACAGGATCACAGCCGCATCACGCAGGACGCAAACGCAACCCTCTGGGCTTTCCTGCACTGGCGTCGTGGGCTCTGGGCTAGGCGGCCACACGACTCGACGCAGCTGCTCACGTGGGTGTCCTTTTGACACACGAGGGTGGCGGAGTGGCCCTTCTTCCCCGCTCCACCCAGTCACGCCCTGCTCTGACACCCCCAGGGGCCGCACCTTCCAGGGCACCACGGTGGGCCTGGCGCCTGTGGAGGGCATGTGCAGCGCGGAGAGCTCGGGAGGGGTGAGCATGGTAAGCTCCGCGGGGGAGCCAGGAAGGGGGGGGGCTTGAGCAGCGCCTGTGGTCCTCAGTGAAGCCCGGCTCCCCAGGACCACTCGGAACTCCCCATCGGCACAGCAGCCACCATGGCCCACGAGATAGGTCACAGCCTGGGCCTCCACCATGACCCCGACGGCTGCTGCGTGGAGGCAGACGCGGAGCAGGGAGGCTGCGTCATGGAGGCAGCCACAGGGTACGCACGGAAGGTCGGTGCCACCGGACCTGGATGCGGATGCGTCGCCTGCGTTTCTCTGGTTACCCCTCAATTCCCTCCTCTGCAAAGTGGGGGTGATAAAAGGCTAAAGTAGAGGAGTCTCAGGATGACTTCCCGACTAGGGTACTCCACTCGTGATCGTTGGGCCCCATGGGGCCTGGGCTGCCAGATCTTGGCGTCACAGCCTCCGGTGTGTCAGCCTCCTGTGTCACGGGTTTCTAGGGTGAATATGCAAGTCCTTTACCCTCTCCTCTCTAGACCACTCGCTTAGCTCAGCAGGTAACCGCACATAATAGCGGCTGTGTGGCTAACCCCAGGGCCCAGAGTGCAAGAGCAGCCAGAGCTTAGGGGGTGGTTCCCACAGGCCAGATGCTCCCCACACCGTCCATGCCTGCCTCCTTCCACAGGCACCCGTTCCCGCGCATCTTCAGCGCCTGCAGCCGCCGCCAGCTGCGCACCTTCTTCCGCAAAGGGGGCGGTGCGTGCCTCTCTGATAACCCGGGCCCGGGGCTCCTGGTGCTGCCCACCCGCTGTGGAAACGGCTTCGTGGAAGCAGGAGAAGAGTGTGACTGCGGTTCTGACCAGGTCAGGTTAGCATCCTGGTCCTTGAGGTCCAAGGTTGACCCCTGCTCCCAGCCTCCCCCAGGTGTGGCTTGCTGCGCCATGACTTGTTCTGTTCTCTCCTTTCTTACTCCAGAGGTGCCCAGACCCCTGCTGCTTTGCCCACAACTGCTCCCTGCGTGCAGGGGCGCAATGCGCCCACGGTGATTGCTGTGCACAGTGCCTGGTGAGGGCTAGGGACACTGGAGAGTGGCCTGTTGATCTTAGCTTCTAGGCCTCCTACTGAGTGTGAGCTTGACCCTGTAGGTGGGTCCATTTGATGCTCCCTCAGCAAAAGTATCAGACTCTCCATTGTCTCTCTGCCTTCCCCTAATGGGTCACCCATGCAGCTAAAGCCCGCAGGCACGCCTTGTCGTCCCGCTGTGAGTGACTGCGACCTTCCTGAGTTCTGCACTGGCGCCTCCCCGCATTGTCCCACAGACATTTACCTACTGGATGGCTCACCCTGCGCCAAAGGCCGCGGCTATTGCGTAGATGGCTGGTGTCCTACGCTGGAGCAGCAATGCCAGCAACTCTGGGGGCCTGGTGAGACCACATGCTTGCCTTGGTGACCTGACCGCTTCTGGGACCTGCAGTTTTCTACTGTGGGCAAGCTCTATGCATGGAACAGAGGCCCAAGCTGCCCAGCTTCTTCTATCCTTCTTCCCCAGGATCCCAGCCTGCTCCGGAGCCCTGTTTCCAGGAGATGAACTCCATGGGGAATTCGCAGGGGAACTGTGGCCAGGATAGCAAGGGTAGCTTCTTTCCTTGTGCACAGAGGTGAGGTGTGGCAGCCAAGAGTCTACAGCTACAGAATGGGGCGGTGTACTTGGAGCACGTGACCACCTGCCATTTCCTCCCCAGGGACGCTCAGTGTGGGAAGCTGCTGTGCCAGGGTGGGGAGCAAAACCCATTTGTGCTGGGGCGTGTAGTGACTATGGATTCCACAATTCTCCGAGAGGGTCACGAGGTGGCTTGCCATGGAGTGCTTGTGCTCCCTGATACTCAGCTGGACCAGCCAGGCTTGGGCCTGGTGGAGCCAGGCACCCGCTGTGGACCTAAAATGGTGAGCCCTGACTACCCAACCCCTCCTGGTCATTGAATCTTCCATACCAAAGTGTCCTTCTCACTGCCCAGTGGGCACAATGCCCATAGGTGTGCCAGCATGGGCAGTGCCAGAATGCTACCTTCCGGGAGCTGGAGCGTTGCTTGTCTGCCTGCAATAACCATGGGGTGAGTAGCCTAAGGAGTCAGGGTGGCCCTGGAGGTCCTTGATCCCATGTGACTTTTCTATCCTCTTCTTAGGTTTGCAATAGCAATCATAACTGCCACTGTGCTGTAGGCTGGGATCCACCCTTCTGTGACAAGCCAGGCTTCGGTGGTAGCATGGATAGTGGCCCCGCACAGCCCGCAAGTATGCCAATGGAGTGGGAGCAGACAGGCACCACCTAAGTAAGCAGCCTACCTGGGACTCAGCACCCCTGTCCTCCACAGACCGAGATGCCTTCCCAGTGGCCATGCTCCTCAGCTTCCTGCTGCCTCTGCTCCCTGGGGCTGGCCTAGCCTGGTGCTACTACCAGCTACCAACACTCTGTCGGCGCCCCCGGTGGTGCTGCAGGAGGGACCCCGTATGCAATAGGTAGGCTCAGTGCCAGCCTCTGAGGGCTCAGGTCCCTCTTCCTGAGCCTGCCCCCGTGGCTCCTGGTTCTCAGAACTCATCAGGGCATAGGAGAGCAGGAACTACAGGGATCTGGGGCTGTAGGAAACTGGATGGAGTCTAGTTTCCCCTCTAGATGTAATGGGAGCCCCTAAGCAGTGGGAAGAAGTCCATGGCCCGACCAACACACAATAGTGCAGCCCTTTCTTCCCTCCCCCACCATAGTCCCCCTGGTTCTCCTCTGTGTCTCCCAACAGGCCGTGGCCTCACCTTCATTCTGCTGCTTTGTTTGCATTTTTGCTTTTGTTGTTCTAAACAAATTCAACCCAGTCTGTGCTCCGCTGTGTCCCTGAAGACTTCTCTAGCTCCTTCTCAGGAGTTTTCAGCCATCTGCTTCATCCTTTGCCGGGACCACTCTGTTGCCTCCTTTAAGTTCTTTGGTGTGAAGCCCAGCACACCTTTGCACGTCCTCCCACTGGCCAGCTATGGTGCTGACTGCTCTTGTGCCAGGACTCAGTGCCTCTGTCCTCTGCAGACCACGATGCTGCAAACCCAGGTCTTTGACTGGCAGGCATGCTATGCGTTAACAAGCACGGCCCACCGAGGGCCGCCTCTTCACTGGACCCCTGGCAAGTCAGGCCCATTATGTCCCTGTCTGGCAGCCCGAATTTGGAAGTGTTCCAGGCCCTTTGAGGGAAAGGGCAGGTTTGGGCTGGAGAAGTGAATAGCGGGTGTCTCAGGCAGGGAATGGCACCAACAGGCCTCAGGAGCCAGTGAGAGAAGGTCCCAGAAGATTCAGGTAGAGGTTGAGGGTCTACAGGCAGAGAAGCAAGGCGGAGGTGCAGTTGGGAACGGCACTGCACACACCCCATCTTCAGGAAGGGGTCCAGGGCAGTGGGGAATATTTGGATGAAACAGCAACAAAATAGCAAAGCCTTGTGGGAAAGGCACGGGCAGCCAAAGACGGCACAGAGT